CTGCGCGCGGCAGCCATCGGTTCAGATCTCTCCTCCCCCGCCCCCGCCTCTCGCGGCCCCACCCCACCCCCAATGTCACGCTCCCTTCGCCCCATCCGCCCTTCGCCTTGCCAGCCAATCCATCCCATTCCACCTCCTTTTCACACCCTCCCCCGCATCACCCACACTTAGCGGCGCGCTCCAGGGGGCGGCGCTGCGGGGCTTGGCCTTTTGAGAAGGCGGAGGGAATTCTTACTCTTACAAGGAAGGGGCCTGTTTAGAAGGGCCTGCAGGCTTCCAAAAAAATGTTTGTTGAAGCTGGGCGTACTTCTAACAAGGCCTCTTGTTGCTGAGAAGCCCCCCGCCTTCTTGGAAGGCCGCCCACCCACATCGCGCCACCCCCTTGTGCGCGCCGCCAACCCATCTCATCTTTCTCCCCTTTCTCTGTCCTGGTCCGCCCCATTCCCGCTTCCCACATCCACTCCGCCCACCTCCGCATCCCCACCAGACCGCATGGCACCTCGTCCCCACTCCACCTCCTCCTCCTCCTCCTCCTCCTCCTCCTCCTCCTCCTCTTCCTCCTCCTCCTCCTCCTCCTCCTCCTCCTCCTCCTCCTCCTCCTCCTCCTCCTCTTCCAACAAGCTAGAAACTGGCATTAGCATACACCTTCGAAGGTCCCCCATACCCCCACCCCCTCTACCTCCCCGTCACCCCTGCCAGGCCCGCCCGTTCCCCCTTTTCTGAACTTTCCCCATTCCGTCCACCTCCGCATGACCGCTTCCCATCCTCGCGTCTCCAACAGAAAACAAATCAGCATAAACATAAACTCTCGGAGGACAGCGCGGATTTCTTGGATCGACGCTGGGCCCCCCTCCTGTTGGTGCGCGGAGCGCGCCAGGGGCGGCGCAGGAGACGCTGGACAACGAGGCGAAATAATATGCTTATGTTGTTAGCTCTGTTTCAATCATCCCCTGAAGACGAGGCGAAGGCGGCGGAAAGAGCGCGGAACCAGGAGGAGGAGGAGGAACCAGAGGAGCAGCAGGACAAGGCGTGGAGTGCCGCGAGGAGACCAAGGCGCGCCCACAACCAGAGAGGCGCCCCGACTCGCGAGAGGTCCAATGCCCGATTGGCCGTGCCTGTTGTCTGCCACCACCGCGTGAAAAGGCCTACCCGTTACCTCTGCGCGTCCAGCTGGACCTGGGTCCATACAAACCGCGCCTCCTGCGGCCGTTCGGGACGACTCTCCGGCCTCCCGACAACGCCCTCGGCGAGGTGCAGCCGACGGAAGTCACCCCGGAGAGCATCGGAAGATGTGCCCCGCGCCCCCAAGAGGGTCTGGAGAGGCTGGCGGCAGGCGTCCACCGCTCCCACTCTCATGTCCGCGGGGCGAGGAGGAGGAGGAGGAGGAGGAGGAGGAGGAGGAGCAGCACGAGGAGGCGGAAAAAAACATAATGGGCGAGGAGGAGGAGGAGGAGGAGGACGAGGAGGAGGAGGAGGACAAAAAAAAAAAAAAAAATGGTAGGAGGGGGGGCCCTGCGCCGGCGAGGCCGGGAGGCAGGGCGCCCCTCGAAGGAGGGGGGCAGAGGCGAGGGGAGGGGGGACGTCATGCCAGGCGCGCTCGCGTCATATCTGACGTCCTACCCCTCCCTCCCTAGGGGAACGGAGAATGACATAAACATACAAACTCGGAGGTCCGCGCGGACCTCCGAGTTTTTATGTGTATGTCATTGTTCGTTCCCCTACTCCCATCACTTACCATGGCGTAGATAACTCTGATCGCAGAATCGGATGTCGCAGCATGGCATAGCAGTACATGGCATAGCACGGTGTCGAAGATCAACGCGTAGCATGGCATAGCATGGCGTGGCGACGCCCCAAGGTGGGGAGGACTTCTGCGGCCCAAAAACCAACGAATCGACACCGAATGTGTAACCACTTTGTTCGGGGGGGCATTTTCTAGATTTGGGGGGCTATTTGGAAGGACAAAAAACCATGCCGTGGCATGACGCTGGAAATAATGACGCCAACGCTGCAGCGGGAGCACGATTCGGAACGAGCGGAAGCGCGGAAATGAGGCCAGCGCTGTGGCGGGAGCACGATTCGGAAAGAGCGGTAAGCGCGGAAATGAGGACGCGAAGCCTGACATAGCATGGCGTGGCGACGCCCCAAAATGGGGAGGGCTTCTGCGGCCCAAAAAATCAACGAATCGACACCGAATGTGGAATCACTTCCGGTGGTTTCTTGGGGAGATCATTTTCTAGATGTTGGGGCCCGTTTGGAAGGGCCGAAAACCATGCCGTGGCATGACGCTGGAAATAATGACGCCAACGCTGCAGCGGGAGCACGATTCGGAACGAGCGGAAGCGCGGAAATGAGGCCAGCGCTGCAGCGGGAGCACGATTCGGAACCAGCAGTAGCCCGAAAATGAAGCCAGCGCTTCAGCGAGAGCAGCATCTTGAAAGAATACTCAACGCGGAAGCGCGGAAATGAGGACGAGTCCTGATACAGCATGGCGTGGCGAAGCCCCAAAGTGGGGGGGAAACTTCCGCGACCCAAAAAATCCGCCGACCCCTTGGGGTCACGGCGTGTGAGATGCTTCCCCCTCCCCAAATCCCTCCCCCGGGAGCCCAGTCCGGCCGGTTTGGAAGGGGGGGGGAGGCAAAGGTGTCACCAGGCCCCGAAGCCCCAGAGGGCTCCAAGCAGCCCCCACGACGGTCCAAGAGGCCCCCGAGACACCCAAAGGTCGGCCCAAGACGCCCAGGATGGCCCCAAGACGGCCCCAAAAGCCTCCCAGACGGCCCAGGAAGCCTCCAAGAGCATTCCCAAGAGGGGCCCTAGAGGCCAAAATCGCCGAATTCTGATGGAGAACGTACATGTTTACCTTACACGACTGTTCGGCCTTCACGGCGTTGAAGACGACCCCAGTCCCCCAAGACCGCCCCAAAACGGCCCAAGAGGCTCCCAAGAGGCGCTCGACCAGGAGGGCGCCAAGACGGCCCAAGAGGCTCCCAAGACGGTCCAAAAGTGCCCCAAGACGGCCCAGAGGGGCCCAAGAGGGGGAGCCTGAACCAACAATCCGAGCCTTCCGCCCCAGAGCGGCCCCAGGGGGGCCCAAGAGGCGCCCAACAGGGCCCATGAGGCCCCCAAGAGGCCCCCCAATTGGCCCCAAGAGGCCCCCAAGAGGCCCCCCAAGAGGCTCCTCAAGAGGCCCCCCAAGAGGCTCCCCAAGAGGCTCCCCAAGAGGCGCCCGAGACGGCCCCAAGAGGCCCCAAAGACGGCCCAAGAGGCATCCAAGACGCTCAAGATGGCCTCCAAGACGGCCCACGAGCCCTCCAAACGTCCTCCAAGAAGGCCCGAAAGGATCAAAATAGCCTCCAGGCGGCCAAGATGACCTTCAAGATGCCCACGTGTTCCCCGAAGGCTTTCAAAACCGATTCGGGGAACACATGGTCCGATAGCTCGGCAGGTCTGGCCTCAACGTTCGGCCACATAGGCGCTTCCACAAAGGCAGGGGGCGGCGGTGATTCGCCGTAGGCGTCTTCGATCCGCCGCCCCCTTTTGCTTTTTAGCAAAGGGGTGCCTGGCGTGCCAAATTATATAGGTTTTGGTTTTGGTTCTTTTTCCAAAAGAACTCCCCCTGGGGCTTCGGCCCGTCCCGCCGACCACACCCAGAAAGGATCTCAAAGCCTGGTTGCAAAGGTTGTCCCTGCTCCAGACGGCTCCAAGACGGCTCAAGATGGTCTCCAAGATGCATCCAAGACGGCCAAGATGGCTTCCAAGACTGCTCAGATGGCTCCAAGATGCCTCCAAGACGAGCCAAGATGCACTCAGCACGGCCTAAGATAGCCTCAACATGGCCCCAGACGGCCCAAGAGGCCTCCGAGACAGCCCAAGAGGCCTCCAAGAGGTCCTCCAGGAAAGCCCGAAGAGGCCAAAATCATTGACTGTCCATTGGTTTTTGAAGAATTTTGGCATTTGCGCCTTTTCGGCTTTCCGACGGCCCGAGACGGCCCAAGAGCCGCCCGAGATCGCCCCAAGATCGCCCAAGATGGCTCCGTGACGGCCCAAGAGGCCCCCAAGACGGCCCCAAGAGGGCCCCAAGACAGCCCAAGAGGCCTCCAAGACGCCCAAGATGGCCTCCAAGACGCCCCGCAGCGCCCCACGAGGGCCCCAAGTCAGCCCAGAAAGGCCCCCAAGACGGCTCCCGACAGCGTCAGACGTGCCAGGAACCCACCAAGATGGCCGAAGTTGGCTCGAAGCTGGCCCAAGACGACCCAAGAGGCCCCGAAGAGGGCCTCCAGGAAGGCCAGAAGAGGCCAAAAACATTGATTTGCCTGAGGTTTTTGACGGATTTTGACATTTCCTTCTTTTCGGCCTTCCGACGGCCCGAGACGGCCCAAGAGCCCCATCGCCGAAAGATCGCCCAAGGGGCCTCCCAGATGGCCCCAGAACGGCCCAAGAGGGCCCCAAGAGGCCCCCAAGACGGCACAGGAGGCCTTTAAGACGCCCAAGATGGCCTCCAAGACGGCCCTGGAGCATTCCAAACGGACTCCACGTCGGCCCCAGAGGCCCCCCAAACAGCTTCCGACGTCGTCAGACGGACCAGAAGCCCACCGACGGCCGAACATGGCCCTAAGATGGCCCAAGACGGCCCAAGAGGCCTCCAAGAGGGCCTCCAGGAAGGCCCGAAAAGGCCAACATCATTGATTTCCCATTGGTGTTTGAAGGATTGTGGCACTTGCTTTTTTTCTGCCTTCCGACGGCCCGAGACGGCCCAAGTGCCCCCAAAGATCGCCCAAGAGGCCCAAGGCACGGCCCCAAGAGGCCCCCGAGACGGCCCAAGAGGTAGGTCTCCAAGACGCTCAAGATGGCCTCCAAGACGGCCCAAGAGCCCTCCAAGACGTCCTCCAAGAAGGCCCGAAAGGGTCAAAATGGCCTCCAGACGGCCAAGATGACCTTCAAGATGCCCACGTGTTCCCCGAAGGTTTTCCAAACCGATTCGGGGAACACATGGTCCGATA